TGGGCTTGGCCAAGTTGCATAATGGGGAACCTGCACTGACTTGCAGGAGGTACCTCACTTTCCTATGTATGCCCTTCCCCATTTCTTCTTTCTGTCCTCATGGCAGCCCCCATTTCTTTTCCCCTTTCTCTACTTCCTTCTCTACTTCCCACCCACAAACCAACTTACCTTTTATCTGCCCACCATATCCAGCTATATTTATTAATTCATTTATACCCCATCTTTTTCCACAATAAGGAACCCAAAGCATCTTACACCAATGTCCTCTGTATGTGTGTGTGTGTAAAGTGCCATCAAGTCACAGCCAATTAATGGTGACCCCAGTAAGGGGCTTTCAAGGCAGGTGAGAAGCAGAGGTGGTTTGCCATTGCCTTCCTCCACAGAATCTACCTTGACGGTCTCCCATCCAAGTATTGACCCTGCTTGGCTTCCAAGATCTGACAAGATCAGGCTATACCATGTCGCCTTCCCTCCCATCATTCTCTTGTCCTCCATTACATCCTCAAAACAACCCTGTGAGGTGGGTTAGTCTGAGAGTGTGTGATGGCAAAAGTCACCCAGTCACCATCCACAGCAGAGAGGGGATTCAAACCTGGGTTTCTCAAATCGTAATATGAAACTGTAACCACTGCACCACACTGAAAGCCTCTACAGCCTCTCCCTTTTTCCTGCTTTCTTTTATCCTCCCCAACTACCAGCCACCCTACTTTTATGTGACCCATCTTCAGCTTTCCCTAGGGTTGCCAGCTCGAGTTTGGAAAATACCTGGAGATTTTGGGGGTGGAGCCTGAGGAGGGTGAGATTTGGGCAGAGGAGGGACTTCAGTGGGGTATAATACCATAGAGTCCACCTTCCAAAGCAGCCATTTTCTCCAGGTGATATGTGTTGCCTGGAAATCAGCTGCAATCCCAGGAGATCTTAAGCCACCACCTGGAGGCTGGCAACTCTAGATTTCCCTCCTTCCCTCCCTCAGTAGTCTCTGCCTGGGAAAACTATGGCACAGTTGTGAGATGCTGACTGCATTCCATGAATACAGCATGACACTGACTTTGGGGCCCTCCAGTTGACTTGAGCCCCCCATATTTTTTCCCCCCAGGCCCCCCTTTCAGCAGCCCTGCAATATGGTGTTGAGAGGAGAGAAAACATCCTCATCACCAAGGCAAGCCCAATAAATTACAATTAATTGACAGATTTGGGTGGAATGTGGGTGGGATGTGTACATGAGCACATCAAGCTGCCTTCTACTAGGTCAGAACATTGGTCTATCAAGGTCAGTATCATCTACTCTGACTGACCATGACTCATCCAAGTATCTCATATTTGTGTTGTCGAAGGCTTTCACGGCCGGAGTTCATTAGCTGTTGTAGATTTTCCAGGTTGTATGGTCGTGGTCCTGGCATTGTAGGACCTGAGATTTCGCCAGTAGCTGTGACTGGCATCCTCAAAGGTATAACACAGAAAGATGGAGTACTCTCTGTGTCAAGGTGAGAAGAAAAATGGTAGGCAGGAAATTTATATCTACTCAGGAAGATGGGGTAAGGCTGAGTCATTATCTTGTAGTAGTCCCCCAGGCTGTGGACATGCTAATGGAGGAGCTTTCCTGAAGAGGTTCTTTTGTGTATGGATTGTTTCCTGAGGAGGTTTCCTGAGGAGGTTCTTTTGGGTGTTGGAATTCTAATCTTATCTGTAGTGCTATTGTCAAATGTAGAGCCTTTTGTGTTTTTCAGGACAGGAAACCATGCCCTATTTATTTTTAAACTCTCTTCTTTCCTGTTGAAATTGTGTTTATGTTTATAAATTTCAAAGGCTTCCCTGTGTAATCTGACATGGTAATTGGATGTGTTGTCCAGCCTTTCAGTGTCTTGGAACAAAATACTGTGTCCTATTTGAATTAGGCTATGTTCAGCCAGGGCTGTTTTTTCAGGTTGGCCAAGTCTGCAGTGTTTTTCATGTTCTTTTATTCTTGTCTAAATGCTATACTGTGTGGTTCCAATGTAAACCTGTCCACAACTGCATGGTATTCGGTATACTCCTGCAGAAGTGAGGGGGTCTCTTCTGTCTTTTGCTGATCATAGCATCTGTTGTATTTTTCTATGCAAGACAGAAGCACAGCCATTACAACTATATGGACTCCCTAAAATTCATAAGGACTCAGTCCCACTCCGACCCATCATGAGTGCCATTGGTTCCAGAATTAGCTAAATATCTGGCAACGCTAGTAAGCATCCTGGCTGTGGCATTCTGCACCAACTGACATTTTCAAACACGTTCCAGGGCAGCCCACTTGAGAGTGCATTGCAATAATCTAATCTAGATGTACTCTATAACTCATTTAGATGTAGGTATCACCTACTACCTGAGCCTTTTAACTGGAGATGCCAAAGATTGAACCTTGGATCTTCTGTGTGAAAAGCAAATGCTCTACCTCTCAGCCATGGCCCCTCCCTGTTGATTTCAATGGATTTAGAAGGGTATAATTCTGTTTAGGACTGAACTATTAGATACACACCCTGTCGACAGTAGTGTGGAAAGACAATATGTACACCCAGGTATCTAAGCTGCAGTCAGCCCATCCATACTGCATTACTTTACATGCACATACAGATGTTCATCAACCTTCTGTCCCAACTAGCCATGCATAGCTATTCCTGTCTTTAGATGGATTAGGGCCAGATTAAAGCTTTACTGAGTAGGACTGACAGGCAATGAGAATGCCAGCACAGCATGGCCCAGTTGTCTGAGCAGCATGACTGTATTCCATCTTCAGTGGACCTGGTAACAAATGGGCAGGAAGCAAAAGATGAGTGTGGAAGGGAAGGTTTTTCTTCACAGTTTTATGTTCCCCAGAAGGGAAATTTCCCTCAAAAGCAAACCCAAAACTCATGGAGTATGGTACCACTTCAAATGGAGTAGCTTTCCAAAGAAAAAGAGGAAATCCCAGAAAACCTCACTGCCATTAATATTTTAGATTCCATCTGCAAATGATCATGTATATATGAAAGCAAAGAGATGTAAGACTGGAAATTTTTATTTGATAATATGATTTGCATTATCTTTGGAACTTGTTATATTTTTATGAGCAATTGTAGTGGCTTTAAAGGAACCAATCCCAAGAAGCCACTCCTATAATACCAGTCAAAGGGGCAGACTTACCCTTGCAAGCTCAGCAAGAGAGATCTTCATTAATTCAAAACTTATTTCCTCTCTGCTAAGCAGAAGCAGTACAGGAATTCTCCTAGGCCTGAGCAGTGGAATGTCCTGCTTTCAATTTTGCCATGGGAATGAGAGTCGTCATAAAATGATCAGTATCTTTACATTCTAAAAGATGTGTTCTGTTGCCAGATGAATAGTAAACTGTGATACACAGTACAATCGTACATGGGGTTACACCCTTCTAAATCTATTTAAGTCAAAGGCTTTGAAACGTGTAATTCTTTTTAGGATTGCACTACGAACATAAATTTTCCCAAGCTGATGATATTCTGTATCCTGACAATTTGGAGGTGTCATGTTTGGAGTTTTTCCTCCCGGCCAGAGAACTTGGATTACTTGGTTTTATTTGTTTTCTCCAGCAGCATGTAGGTCATTCGATTGCTTGACTATCTATGTCCATTTGCTTACAGGTGTTTTCTGCTGTATACCAGATACCTGTTGTGGCCTTTGGTGGTCTTGTTTACATATATTGACTCATTCAGACAGCAAGCTAGATTGTCCAGCCTTCAGACAACCTCTGGACCGGATGACGTTTTAGAGACTCAGATGAAGTAGAGGCATTAAACAACACTGCTTATGAGAGTCTATTCATAATCATGTAATCCACTAGTCCATACCATTGCCAGAAGCTGGTTGTTCATCCCCTCAAGCCAAGTTGCCAGTATATTAACATACACTGAAAAGTTGCAATAGGGAATACAGCACCAGCGTGTATGTTATATAAGCTAGAGCACTCCCACCATAGTTGTTCTCATTCAGAGACTGGGTTCTAAACCATGTGGTTTCTGAACCACGACAGCTGGGTGGGTCCTGAAAGGCTAGACTTTAGTCAGAATAGCATGTAAAATCAAAGTACCTCCCTAGTGGCCAGGAAAAAAGTCCTTAAGTTTCCTGATTTACAATTCTAATTTTGCTCTGTGATATTTTCCCTGCTTTTGCTTTTTCCTGAACTGAAATAAACTGCTAGAATTAATTACAGTATAACGTAACCCTGAGAATCTGATTATTTCTCTACCCTTGGCAACAAATCCAAGTGATGAACAGACTAGGTTTTGAAAAATAGATTTTAAAAAAGCACTAGGCACAATCTGGTTTTAGCTGATGCATTCTCCTAAAAATCAGTAGTGTACACCTACTGAGTATGTTAAAATAAGGGTTATCTCAAAACCTGCAGAAGATTAAAATGCCCAATTCTATTTTTTCAGAATAAAACAAAAATACAGTGGCACCTTAAAAAATAACATTATTTCTATATGAGCTTTTGTGAGTCACAGTTCATTTCTTCAGATGGTGGGCAGGTTGGTGGTACTCATTGGTACCAAATATCAGCACCTGGGGGGGGGGGCCTCACCCAAGTCCGGGGAGGAACTGATAGAAATCAGTGCACCCATATATATTACTACTGCAGATGCATATTCAGGTACATACTCTGCTATATATCTGAAGAAGTATGCTGTGACTCACAAAAGCTCATTTAGAAATAAATGTTATTAGTCTTTAAAGTGCCACTGGACTTCTGTTTTATTTTTGCTACAATAGACTAACATGGCTACTCCTATGCAACCCATTATTTTCTTAGAACCAGATATCTATTAAGATTCAAGTCTATGAAAAAAATGCCAGATGTTATAATTCTGTTCATTGTGGAAGCCCCAAAAGTTACTGTACAAGTACATGACATAAATAAAATAAACATTCACATTGGATATACATTGCAATGCAGCACAGAATCTGTAGTATTTAAGAATGACAGGAAAGTAACAAAGATGCAATATTTGAATGGGTCTTCACAGAAAAATTATATGGAGTAGATAAGATCGTTTGGCACAAAAAGTTTTAAAAGAGAACATTGCAAGAATATGTTGCCCAAAGTCAGAATGGGATGGGATGGTTTGGTTTAAAAAGATTTAAGAGAAAGTTATGAGAATATGTGTTTCCATACCTTTAAAAAAATTGCTTTGAAATGTCCAAAGTTGAATGTGTGCAATAGATTCAGTGGAAGCACTGTAGAGAAGTAAGGCTGTAATATTAAAAGTTGCAAGCACTTCTATGTTCGCTCTGAATGCTGCCATTTATGTATTTCAGCTGCAGCATTCATTAAAATTATCACTATTAGGAAAACAAATATGGTGGCATTCTTTACCACCATGTTTATTATCTGACCATAGCAATTTTAATATATCAAACATAAACAGAGCTAACATTCAAAAGTAGTAGCACTTGGGTTAACTTACAGGTATAGGGTGAATAGGATGTCAATTGTTACTCTTTACTGGAAACAAGCCCTAAACTAGACCTATTTTGTTCTTATTCAGAGGTGCATAAATTCTCCTAAATGGATCAGTAATTTCAACAAAACCAAAATTACTTCAGTGTACTCCAAAGTAAAAGGTAAGCAGGATTCAATAGTGACAATGGAGCACCCCTACAAAGTACCCCGACACATTCACTATAAGATTAGACTGAGGTGCAGAAAAGCTGAGCAATTATTTGAATCCATGTTGAAAAAATGTATGTGTGGCTATAGAAATCCTAGATTCTTATTATCCAACTTTCATGTATTCCTAGAAACCTGATGTTGGTTCCAATATGTGATACATTTATAGGATGTCAATTGTTACTCTTTACTGGAAACAAGCCCTAAACTAGACCTATTTTGTTCTTATTCAGAGCTGCATAAATTCTCCTAAATGGATCACTAATTTCAACAAAACAAAAATACTTTAGTTGGGCTCTGTGTAGGGCTGACACACACATGAAAATTATTCTGGATGTAAAAATGTTGAACACGTTTAATTGCTTCCCCACAATTACCAATGCTTCTCCAGTAGTTGCAGGTGGAAGACAATGTGGGGTCCATAACAGAGCTTTGTCAGATATCATATTGAGCGCTGGAAGCAGAGTGTGCATAGAGTTCAGCACAAGGTCAAAAACAATCCTATAGGTCCAAGCTTGGGACAAGGGCTGGGGCATAGCAAGCTTGTCAGAGAGGGGGAGGAATGGTCATCATGTGACTGCAGTGAACAAAATTGTGCAGTCTGGAACTCTCTCCTCCATTCCTTCCTTAAACCAAATGGAAATGGAGATAATTCCACTTCTACACTAATAATGAAATGGGTGAAAATGAAAATACTGTTAATAAAGTCTAGAATAATTCTCAGTTACCATGACCAGAAAAAAGTGAAAGAAAAAGCATGTTGTTCCAAGAACAAATGATGGTCTATTCTCTATCATCATCAAGGGTGAACATGCTTCTCAAGTGGTTGAGTATTAATACATGTAAAGAGACAGCTATGTGTGATTTATTGCCCACCACACCGCTCCCACAGAAAGTGGCAACTCTTCCATTATTGCACAAAGCTAAGGGATGTGAGGATAACAAGCCATAGGGCTTCTCCCTCAGAGATGTAGCATCACTTGATATGACACCATTTCTTGGAAGGTTAATGACATTTTAAGGAAGATCAATGCCACCCATTGTGTTCCACCCAGCCTACTTGGTCAAGCAAAACCTGACATTTTGGCAAGAACAGAGTGCTTCAAGTCAAAAGTGCAAAAGACTTTTTGTAAGAGGCCCTGAATCTATAGTTGATAATCTAGACAGAAGATCTTGCAGGCTATAAGAACGTCACATCATCTTGAGACTGAACCCACTGCCAATGGGCATCATATTCCAGATACAGCCTGCTGTTCAGCTTGCAATTGTCCAAGTCAGCTGTTTTGCTTCTGAAGGCCTTTGTTGCTGGGCTACCCTTGGTTGGTGTATCTGCAGCTGCTGAGGTGTATTTAGCCTCAGTGCCCTGTTCCAGCTCTGGAATTCGTCTGCCCCAAACCCCATTGGATACTGCTAGTGGCTGCCTCGCAGATTTGTTTTGCTCACTGACTCCTTGGTTTTTAACCAAACTATGGACTTTCTCTTGATCCTCTTGGCTTTTGTCCAGTTCTTTGCTTAAAATCTTTGTAGGAATGGCCTGGTCTGGGTCAGTCTTTTCAACTCTGGCCATTGGTCTGCCTGGTGTGGATGTCATCATGGGATCTATACCAGAGCCTTGTCCATATTCATCCATATCATCAGCAAGTGTGTCCAAATAGCTGCCAATGGAGATACTATCCAACTTGTCATTGGGGTCCTGAAGGCTGTTCCAGCTGCCTCGCCGAGATGTCTCTTGACTCTCTACCAGGCTATACTGGCTGCTGGTGAGACTGCTGCAGCGGCTGGTCAGCATTCCTTTCTCTTCTAGCAGCCACTTGACTGCCTCAATACCTTCATTCACAGCCACTAACTGTTGCAGGATCTTGATATCTATTGCTCTTAAGTAGGCCTATGGAAGAAGAGAGAGAAATTTTAGCATATATGTCAAGACCATTAACTGTCAGTGTTACTGAATAAGTTTCCTGATCAAATTTACTGCACTCAAACACAATGGCACAATGCTTCCAAGGGGAACCGTCAAAAACCTTTGGCAATAATAATGATAGTAAAAATGCCAGAACTTCAGGGTTGTTCTTGGCACTGGACCACCTAGATGGAACTCAGGGTCTCTTCCACTGAAAGGTGTATGCCCCATACATTCCTGAATACATATGACACAGTAGGATTTCTCATTACCTTTACTACAATTTACAAGGAGCATCCCTTGAAAGGGACATGGGTCAATAACTGGCATGTTGACAATGACTGAAGTAACATACATTTTAATGCAATATTGTAAAGTGGAGGGAGTTAGAGTTGGAAAGGAAAAGATGGCTATCATGTGTGTAAGACACAAACATTTCAAGTCATTGTGAAATACCTTGGCTTCCATCCAGACTTGAATGAGACATGGATTCTCCTGTTACCATTCTCTGAGATAAGAACTGTTGAATGCAGAAGTGTTGGCCCAGAACTTGGCCCTCACCTACCTTCTTGAAGAACCCAAACAAATTATACCCTTATCAGCTGGGAACATAGCCTGCAAGCAAACCATCCCGATCCCTATAAAAGTTCCAGGTACAAGAGCCTTAGTCCCATAGGGTCAGTTTATTTTACACCCCTTAGCTGCTTATCTTCTTAGATATCTTTAACTTCCTTAAAAGCAGCCACAAAAGGGACTCGTGTTGTTGAGGGAGATTAACCCTTCTCCCTGTACCTTTTCTCCAAAACATATCCCCCACCCCTGCAGATGTTCATAGCCCTGATCATGAAAAATACAGACAACCTCCCATTCACTTATAAAGGAAGTACAAGTTGGGGAGGTCAATTTTTAAACAAAAAAATTAGTATATGCATGAGGGAGTTAACTCCTGCTGCCCAGTCCTGTGCCTTATCACTCTGAGCTTTGTTTATTGCTGCATTTTTCTCCTGGCTGTATTCAGGTGCCAAAGCCTGACTGGGGGGAAAATTCTTCAAACAGTGGAGCACAGCAAGACATAAGAGAGGCCAGGATTCTCCTCACCTACAGTGTTAGCAGTCAGACCCCTCCTCTTGCTGAGGGGCAGTTTATAACTAGAAAAACCATAAACACCCTTCCCACTATCTTATATATAATTGCCGAATGGTGGTGGCTTCTGGCCTATGGGGTGGCGAGATTGCATGCGCTCCCTCAGCCATTGGCCCATCAGCTGCCAGTCAAGAATACTGGCCGGGTGTGCTCCTCTTCTTCGCCCACTCCCATGTCAGGCACTGTTCTCTGTCAGAAGTACTCTGTCTCCCGACGAACACAGTTCTCTTGCTTAGCTCCTGAGTGTGGGACAAAGGTTTCCCTCAGTGGCTGTTGTGAGGAACTCATAGGGTTGCCTGCTCGAGGTAAGGAAGCCAGTTTAAGGAAGCCAGAGTTTGGGGAGGGGAGAGGGGACGCCTCAGCTGAATAGAATGCCATAGAGGCCACCGGCCAAAGCATTCTAACTTCTCCCTCAGCGGCTGTTGGTAGGCAACCAAGCTTGGTTCTTCCAGTAAATAGACAAAGGAACAAAACCTTTTCTACGCCTCTGTGAGGAACTCATTGGGCCCAGTCCTGAGTATGGTTGCCAGCTCCAGGCTTGGAAATTCCTTCTGAGTCTTTCTGCCCCCCCCCCAACGCTGCCCTCCACAGGACCCACCCCCCAAATCTCCAGGTATTTCCCTACTCAGAGCTGAGAAGCCTACTTTCCCCTTTGTTAAGTCGCTTGCTTAACAAAGTAGTCAGAGAGTTTCAGCAAAGATTCAGCTTTATTCCACAACTTGAAAACAACTCGAACACAGATCAACATCTGATAGCCAGAACAGCTTTTACATTGTAGCTGTCCTGCTTTTAAACTCTCCCAGCTAATGTAGCCATGCCTACTGTACAATTACCAACCAATAAGGTTGCATACATAAGGACCAATCACGGACATTCCCACTAAGGGAGCTTGTTGATAGTGATTGGTTAGGTGCTTCCTGGGCTAGCAATGTGATTGGATGTATTTGGATCCTAGCCCAGGACGAAGCTTAACATAGCATTTCAATTAGATGTTTTCATAACACATTATGCATTCAATGGCAGCTTATTGAATACATTACACCCTCAGTGCCTGCTGCTGGTCAACCAAGCTTGGTTTCTGTCAGTAAAAGGCCCTTTCCACACCTATTTTGGCCTTGGGAGAAAACTCATTGTGTCCTTCTGCCCTGCTGACAGGCCCCTCCCCCCATGACAGCCAAGGCTTCAGAGCACAGTAGAAGCTGCAAGGGTGTGTGGGGGGGAGATGGAAAGCTAAACAGTGAGGGGAAAACGAAGGTTCATTGATGCTTGGCTGGGAAGGAGATAGGGTTGCCAACTCCAGGTAGAGGCTGCAGGTGGGGGGGGAGATGGAAAGCTGAACAGTGAGGGGGAAATGAAGGTACATTGATGCTTGGCTGGGAAGGAGACAGGGTTGCCAACTCCAGGTAGAGGCTGCAGGTGTGGGGGGAGATGAAAAGCTAAACAGTGAGGGGGAAATGAAGGTTCGTTGATGCTTGGCTGGGAAGGAGATAGGGTTGCCAACTCCAAGTGGAAAATTCCTGGAAATTTGAGGGATGGAGCCTGGAAAGGGTGAGGTTTGAGGAGGGATGGGACCTCAGACAGGTACAGTGCCATAGACTCTGCCCTCCAAACTAGCCATTCCCTCATCACTACACCAAACTGGCTCTCAACAGCTGAAGGTTGGAGATCACTCAGAATTCCAACTGGTCTCCAGATGGCATTGATCAGTTCCCCTGGAGAAAATGGTGGACTCTGTGTCCTTATACCTTGCTGAGTTGGCCCCCCTATGACAGCCAAAGTTATGTGGCAGTCAGGGCTTCAGAGCACGGTGGGGGCTGCTGGTGGGGGGGAGATGGAAAGCTGGTCAAAAAGGGGGAAATGAAGGTAGGTTGAAGCTTGGCTGGGAAGTAGATAGGGTTGCCAACTCCAGGTGGGAAATCCTGGAGATTTGAGAGATAGCCTGGAGAGGGTGAGGTTTGAGGAGGAGTGGGGCCTCAGACAGGTACAATGCCATAGACTCTTCCCTCAAAACCAGCCATTCCATAATGGGGAACCACTGTTGCCAATCTCCAGGTGGGGGCTGGAGATCACTCAGAATTACAACTGCTCTCCAGATGGCATTGATCCGTTCCCCTGGAGAAAATGGTGGACTCTATGTCCTTATACCCTGCTGAGGTTGCCATGGCAAATTGATTCTGAGTGCCCACGGCCTTGGCACTCTCCCAGAGCCTCTTTCTAGCACTCATTGTATTTATTTCCACAATGGGCTTTATTCCTAGTATATATATAAGCTCAAATATCATAAACTGCAATGCGCTGCCTGGCCTAAAATGACACAGTATGAATGCCAGCCAGGGACAAGTCTGGACTCGTAATCTAGAAGTGTGCATAAGAGTGGCTGGCTAGCTAATGACCTCTTCCTCACTCTAGAGAGAAGCATAATTTAGGACAAATATTTCCCAAGAACATCATGCCTCACTTTGGCTTAATCTCGTCAAGACCCAGCCTCACTTCTCCTTAACCATTTACGCTAATTAGCAACACTTAACACTATTTACAAAACCTGGTAGCTTTTCCCATTCGGTATTTACAGGGTTATCAAGCACCATTAATGCCTGTAGTTCACCTCAGGTAAAACCATCAAGGTTTTCCTGAACCATTGTCTACCTCTGAAAAACACATCAAGGTATTGTTTTGGGGGAAAACACATCAGACTGCCCCAGGGAGCATTTCCCCCTATTGTAGCACTCTGTTCCATAGCAATGTGTATGTGTTCTCGATGTCATACCTCACACCCCCACTTGCGTGTGGGCCTCCTCCTTTTCTCCACGAAATGCTGGTCATTTCACTGCTGTCTCCATGGACCTTACTCTTCAAGATTAGTAACTATAAGCCTTCCCTGAAACTGCTTTCTCCCATCTCCTCCCTGATTTCTTCTTAATTTCCTTGTGTGTTTCTGTTTGTTTGTTTTGCCCTTTTATTCCTATCTCAATAAAACCCTTTCCAGTTTAACATCTGACTGGTTTATTTGCAAGTTCTCTTAAGGGAAAAATCCCCGTAAATATAGGTGGAGAACCCAGTTATCCCCTCTCACTCTGTCTCCTAAAAGCCAATTCTGCCAACTAATTAGGAGATTGCCTGTTTGGGTAACAGGTTCCATCTTTGTTTTAAAATAGGCTCCACCACTCACTTTATATCTGAACAAGTGGAGTCATGCATTTAATCCCTCCCTGTTATTCTAAATTATTTGTGCTACCTGCTCTCTTGGGTTGCAAAAGATCTGCCCATGTTCACTATACAAGTGAGAATTTTCCGGATGAAACAGAGAAGCTTTCTCCTAGCTGTCTGAAATTTGGCTGGGAGGATCCTTTGGGAGAGGACAACAATTCCTGAGAATTTGTCCCGAATTGATAGAAAGAAAGAAAATTACAGCCAGAAATGTGTTTTCCATTGAAGCCAATGGAAACAAATAAATATAATCACAAAAACAAATCCTGTTCCACTGATCTGAATACAAGAAGAAGATAACAGGAAATTCCCCTCCATGTCATTCTTCCCAGCTCTGCAGTTCACAAAAAGATCATCGAGCTAGTGTCATTCTCAGAATATGCAACACTGTGAACAATTTTATTGGATTTTTAATGTAACACACATTCTGAGAATGTTACATTTTAACCAGTCAGGTTATTCCAGTCCTAGGAGGTGGGGCATTTAGGGAACAATTTTAAGCAGGTCTACTCAGAGGTAAGTTCCATGTTATTCAGTGGGGCTTCCTCCCAGGAAAGTGTCCTTAAGATTGCAGCCTTCATCTTCTGCTGACTGTGTTTACAACTGTGATCTTGCAATTACATTCCCAAGGCAAT